AAAAAAAAAAAAAAAAAAAAAAAAAAAAAAAAAAAAAAAAAAAAAAAAAAAAAAAAAAGAGAAGGTAAAAAAAAGAGAGACGAAATATATTCAAGTTTCACATTGCCGAAGCGCGGCGTGTGCTGCTGCCGTGACTGGCGTTGCTGTTACTACTGGCTGATGCCGTTGCTGGTGCTCATGCTACTTTGCATTGCTCGCCTCCTCCTCCTTCGTTTTCTGCCCATCGAACGACACTTTCGCGCGGCGAATTCCACGAGCGCCTCCACTATATACGACCGGCAGCAAACATACAATAATAATATAAAGCCTGCAGTCTCCGAGCCCCTCCGTCTCTTCTATTATGTACTTGTTTGCTTATTAGCCGAGTACACGCACACACGCGCGTATAGGTAATAAATATGCATATACACATATATACTCGTTAACATGTAGGCGGGGGCGAGCGCGCACAACACTATATTTTTATTGTAGTACGAGTATACAGGTATGCGGTGCATGTGTTTTCTTTCGTAGCGCGTGCTCCGATGTAAGTATTATGTTGTACCAACCCGAACTTGGCAAAATGGTCCGTGCAGGCGAAAACCAACTGGTTTGCAGGGAGGCCAAGCCCCTCTCTAAATTTAAAACGAGAAATATAAAGAGAGCCCCTCTCCGAGAAGACGGCGGCAAGTTCAACAAAACGCCGCAGCTGGTCGGCTGCTGAGAAAGAAAGAGGAAAAAAAAGGAAAAAAAAAAAAAAAATTAATGCTCCCTCGGGGGCTTTCTTTCCCGCACTAATAGGTATTATCGGCTATATACACAGATACAATGTAAACCGAGCAAGCAGCGCAAGAGAGAGAGAGAGACGGAATAAAAGCGCTGGAATTCCTGACTCTCGGCGGCGCGCGACAGACCGAAGGAATGCCGAGTGAGAGTCGCTGCTCACGGCCTATACGTGTATACACATAACTGCTTCTATACACATGGATTTTAAAAGCTCCGTGTGTCTATATTATACACATGCTCGAGGAGCTTTTTTTTCCGCGGGGATCTCGGGCCGATTCTGGCGCACCTTACGTCCTCGTTTTCAACCACATTATTTCCGTCCTTTATCTTCTTTTTCCAAAAATCTTTCTGCACCGCTCGCACTTGCACCAACTTTGATCGATCCGAAACCGCACTTTCTCTCGATCTTCCGGCTGTCACGTTACATTATTCACCGATGCTTCCGTCACTTTGATTTTTCACACTGGGTTCCTCTCCATCAACGCGCGCACTCTCGCGACAAAGTACAACGTTAATCGACTCCGTTTTGAATGGCGCAAAAAAATACGAGTTGGCCAGCTGGTGGTGTCAAAAGCTCTGTCGTCGACAGCCAGTGGTGGAAAAAAAAAAAAAAAAAGGAGCGCAAAGAGAGAAGTCGGCACTGTTATATACTTATACACAGAGAAGGAGAGCTGCACATGCACGCAATAAAAGTTGTACATCAGCAGAGAGTCGCGCCGGTGTGTGCTGCCTGCACTCTCCTCCGCGCGGGGCCAAGTAAGTCAGCGGAGACTTTTCTTCAGCGCGCCGAGCCGCCGCTCTGCTGATGTCGGTTTCGTGCTAACGCGTATATATAACATACACACGCGCGCGCGCCCGCCAAAGTGCACGCGGTTCACTGCTGCACCGGGAATCGAAATATGCTTCGACCGCGAGAGTCGCGGAAACCCGCGTTTCATGTAATGTACCCTATTGAAGCCGATATAGTAGAGTACCCATGTCATGGCATACCATACCACAGTTTTGTATAAAAATAAATATATTAAAATGGTGACTTCCTCTCTCCCCCTGCAGTATTATAAAACACGCATCAGCTTATTGCCTACTGCCGTGCTTGGGTTGTGTGACTGTCTGCCTGTCGGTCTGTCCGTTTGCGCCTTCTCCGCCGACCGACCGACAACAGTTCTCCTCGTTCCCTGCATGTATATATATTGTATACTTATTTCTACGTGGGATAAACAAAGACGATCCAAAACGTGTGTGTATATATACATATATGCAGGCCCTCTCCTTTTCTCCCGTTGAGCTGGTATATGCAATACATGTATAGGTATAGCTTTGCAGTGTGTGCGCTCCGAAACTCCGAAACAGTAAAAAAAGAGCGAGCGAGTTGTATATAGGGAGGCTCGCCGCTATCTCGCTTCCGCTCGTTCCCCAACTCTTATCTCCGTCCCTCTTCGTATATTTTACACGAGTTGGCAATGATGAGTATATACATATACCGGTCTTTCCAAATTTTTCAAATTCTCACTCATACTTGCTTGTATTTTTATACTAGTGCTATACGTATACGAAAATATTATTTTGCTTCGACTAGCTTACGATGGCGAATATGTATATGGCGGAAAATCGAAGCAAATACGATACCGATCTTTAACCGATCAAAGCTAGCTTGCTCGGTGGATAAGACAAGTAAACTGCAGGCGGTGCTCCAAAAGTCACCGATCTCCCCAAACATGTCACACATTATACACACATAGGTATGGTAATTACACTTTTTTTGCAGGTGCAGCTTGAGACTCGCACACAAGCTGAGCTTTGAACGTGTATTTTGTTGTACATACTTACATACGCAGCACACAGGGTGCAAGCAGTTGCATATTACACGTTGTATACACGAGAGCAGTGTAATAATACCCAAGTAAGTGTTTGTGCGCTGGAGTAAACGTACAAGTATAATGTAAAGTATAAGTATAATATATGAACAAAGAGAGAGAGAGAGAGAGAGAGAAAGCGAGCTTAGCTCGGGTAAAAGTGCACGTGCTTTCAGCGAGGGGGAAAATCGGCGCCACCTGCCTGTTGCATGTTTCACTCCCACGCGCGTTGTGCACGCGTATATACATACACACGTTTCCTTTTCAGCTCTTTTAACTCGTACTTATTTGTACTATATGCATTTACATGGTAGGTAATATATTTGTGTACGGTGCCCATCCCTCTGTATGTATATAAGCGGCGTTCCGATTTATCGAAGTCACGGTTGATTAATTTGACAATTAGATGATATTTTTTTATTTTTTCCGGTACCTACATGTACTTATCCTCGATTAGGTGAATTTTGTCATTATAGCAATAAGTGCGAGGTGATTTGTTCCATGGTGCGTTTGGATAACTTGATTTCCATCCTATCGAAATGTAAATACGCGAAAAGAAAGGCAAAATATTTAACGCCACATACCGTGGCTGTGATTACAGTATACGAGAGTGTGGAATATTTAATCGTTATTTACTTCTCGACGATCGAAAACAGTGCGACGTACATATTTATAATAAACTATCACCGTGGGTACTATGTGCGCCGTGGATATTTCTTTTCCGGCGTGTATAGAGAAAGTTGCGATATTTTTCACGTGAATCGTATAAATTTCCTTTTTCAATTAGAATTTAATTTCAAAAATTTCACCGATAAAACGCAAACAGTTTTTAAAAATTGTATTTTCTATTTGCGTGACGGTACATAATATTACATTCAGCAAGATATACCGCTCTGAACCGCATATCTCTTTTTTAATCGTTGAAGCAACTTTTTTGCGTTTTTTTTTTTTTTTACTTTTATTATCTGACGAAAAAAAAAATAAAACAAATAAAAAAAAAAAAATGGTATTCACTGTTTTGGAAGACAAAAAATTTCTTTATGGCATATAATTATGCCCTACTTTTTTTATCTAGCTTTACTAAATAAACAAATTGAAGCGGCATGAGAAAATTGCTCAGAAAAAGAGGGCATACAATACATCATATCTTATACTGTTACATGTTTACGTGGGTATAATTTTTGCTTTTGAAATTAAGATGCAGTTGTACACGGAAAAACCAGGTGTACGCATAGTTTTGACCTGACGTGAATATGCACCCTTTCGAGAGTAAAACCCCCTGGGACCTAATAGGTACAGATACCTTGACTGTGGACTAAAGCATTGAAAATTTCAATTTTACTGTAATATATACCTAGAAAGCAGAGAAAATTCGATAACGAATAATTTTTTTCATGTCAAAGAAAAGCTTGGATTCTATTTATAAAGAACTGTGATTTAGCAAATAAACAATGCGAAATGTTTCCAAATAATTTACCAATTCTTCCTTTTGTGGGAATGCACAACAGTTATCCACGAGTTCTATCAGTGGCTATGGGTGGCGCTGCCGCAACCCACACACAACTTTACCACGCAGCTGATGACAAAAAGTTAACTCATCTGACATACGTGCTGTAATACTTCAACTTATCTCTCATAAAAAATTCTTGTCTTCTGTACAGCTGCATGCCTTTAACTAAATTCAAGTTAATATAATGGGCAGAGGATTGTTTCTTGAAGCTGAATAAAGAAGAGGATCCGAAAAGATATAGGTATTTTGACATCGTGCACGAATTGTTGCGCAGCAGGTAAATAGACCATCAGGTTGAAACGAAACGTTTCTCTTCTTACTGTTTCAATAAGTTTTTTTTTTTTTTTTTTTTTTTTACATCTTATCAATCTTTAGCCGCAGAAATAATTGGCAAAAGTTTTATTTTAACTTATTTACTTGAGTAAATGACGAGTTTTAATTGCATCTGCAGAATGCAATGATTTTTTCATAGATCAAGATAAGATGAGAGAGTGGTCATACCTTACCTACTTATGTTTTGTTTACAAACACATGACAGTTGTTTTTTCTAACACTTGCTGATGACATAAATATATGTGCATACACAAGCACAGTTCTTGTGTCATGAATAATGATGCTTCTTTACTTTTATAGATAGGTGTGCTTATGTACTGAAAAAATAGAAATAACACTCTCATGATTTCATCATGTTTTTTAAGTGGTGTTGTATCTTTATATACCAACACATTGTAGAACAGAAAATTAATAAGGATGTAGTCAGTCATGTATATATGTAGCTACTTTGTTTATACTTTGTGTAGACTCGTCAGTTTTATCACTGCTGTATTATGGCAACATCGGAGAGTGACGATTTTGAAAGTGCAGATGAGGAAATGAGCGCTCAGAGAGCACCAAGATATCAGCAGTCAAGAGCTAAGAAGTATGTCTCCATTGGCTCCGATAGTGATGATGATGTTGATTTCATACCAGTGCAGAACCATGCTCCTGTGAAGAAACATAGCAAACAAAAGTCGGCATCGCAGAGAAAGCATAATTCCTCTACTGGTCAAGCTGATGCAAAGCCTGGTTGATATTTATATAACCCTAATTTTATCACATTACCAAATAAAACCATTGCTTTCAAATTTTTTTTTTTTTCTTCCAGAATCCAAACAAATGGAGAAAAAAAAGGTCACTGATAAGAGTGAAAAAAATCAAGGAGAGCCTAGCAAAGTAAACAAAGAATTGAATCAAGAGAAGAGTGAAAGCTCAAACAGTTCAAAATCTGCTTCAAGTAAAAGAGAGAGGCCACAAAGGCAGCGCAAGCCTAAAGAAATCCAGCCATTGGGTGCTGTTAAATTGGGTGCCACAAAAACTGATAAGCTTCCAGATGTTAGAGCAAGTACTTTTGATGAGGTTAGGGGTGATACAGTGGTTAAAGGTGAGCAACCTCCATTAACCCAGGAATGCTGGGAAGAGTGTGATGAAAAAAATTTGCGAGAAGAATTAGAAATTGCATCAAAACAGAGTAAAGTTGAAAAAAATTGTGAAATAGAGAGCCCAAAAGATGTGCCAGAGGAGTTAAAGTCCAACTTAAAATTTAAAGATCTTTTCAAACCAGATGGTTGGGAAGCTTTGAATGAGGATGTTGTGCTTCCAGATGATTTATCGGATGATAAATACCAGCCAGTGCTAGATAAACTTGCCAAGTCTGTTACAGTAGAGCAAGAAAGCCCAAATGATGGTTGGGGAGGTTGGGGTAGTTGGGGTGTCAGTTCACTGCTTAATACTGCCAGTGTTGGTGTTTCAACGTTGACTAGTCACGTGAATCAAGGACTGACGTATTTAGAGGAGTCTCTGGGTATTCCAAATCCGGAAGATTTAACTTTGGAGGAAAATCCCGAGAAGGAAAAGTTGGAAAAATCAGAAATGGAAAAAATAGAGCCAGAAAAAGTTGAGCTGGAAAAACCAGAGTTGAAAAACTCTGAAAAAGGTAGGTGACAATTTTCTTATAATAATTCATCAATAAGTCGTTGCAGAGACTAAGTACATATTTTTAAAATACTCTACTCCAGAGAACACACCCGAAGAATCACCAGATAGTCAGTCTCAATATTTATCTTCATTTGGCTTTGGCAGTTTCATATCAAGTATGTCCTCAATCACAAAATTAGTCGAAACTACAAGCACAAAAGTCATATCAGGTGGATTAGATACTTTAGAAACGCTTGGAAAGAAGACCATGGAAGTTCTACAAGAAGGTGATCCTGGCTTGAAAAAGAAAAGAGCTTTCTTTTTGAATGAAGCTGATAAGCCTATTCTGTCTCACATCCTCAGAGAAGCCAAAGAAAAGGCAGATCTCGAAGAAAAATCAATAGAAGAAAAAGAACTCTCAAGAAAAGTTCATTTTGAAAGTCTTTTTGATGATTATCAAGGCCTAGTGCATTTGGAGGCTTTAGAAATGCTGTCCAAACAATGTAACATGAAAATCCAACAGCAGCTTATGAATCTCGATAGTAGCGATTTGACGTCCATGCAGGAAACGTTGGATGAAGTTAAAGATTTATGTGACCTAGGTGATGAGGATGAAGATGAAGATGAAGAACAGGAAAAGAAAGATTTGACAAAAGAGCTTGAAGAAGCTACCAAAGATTTAGGTATTTCTGTGACCTACAACAAACTGGTCGACGTAAGTTCAAATAAAATAAATTTTTCCGCCCTCGGGTGGTTTTGGGAGGCTGGTACTTCCTCGGGCGAAAAAGCAGTTTTCCGGAACTCGTTCGAAAAGTCTCCTTTACGAACCTCGTTACGTCCCTCGCCTTCGGCTCGGGCCGCAAACCTCTCGGTTCGCAAACAGAGACTTTTCAAACTCGTAGGAAAACTACCATTTCAATTTTTATGCATTGATTAAAAAGTTACTATTCACCGAAATTTTTTCAGAGCTGGAACGCTATGAATTCTGAAGTACCAACAGAATTAAAAGAATCATCTCATCGTGAAATATTTCAAAAAGCAATATCTGCTCTGGCACAATTTACAGCCTATTCGGTAGAGAGATTTCATAAAACTGCAGAATTACTTTTAATTAAAGAACGCAGAAGTACCGTTAACGAGGCTGATTCCTTGGTCCAACTCACAAAAACGTTATCTTCACAAATCGGCGTCATAGCAAATCTGTACAATGATAGATTGCGTGAATTCAAAGAGAATGCTTACAAGTCCGAGGTTACTTCTAGTATTACAACAATCTCCTTGGAAGTACGTAATTAGAAAATTGTTAAGATTTCTCATTTATTATTTTTAAAAAATGTATATATTTATGTTCTACTTTTTCAGGCAACGAACGCAAGCTCGTACGTCGAAGAAGCATTTAGACTACTGATTCCAATCTTACAAGTCGGCGCGATATAAATAATATTTAAGTTATTGAATGTTGAAAATTTTTTATTACAAATTTATAAAGATGAGAATCTGTGAAAGTTTAATAATACATTATTAAATCTTAGATTTCTATGCACATACTTAGATTTATACACAATCAATATTTATTACTGTACATTTTTAACATTCAATAAATATCATTGAATGTTTAAACTTTCTACCTTAATATCATCCCTCAAAATTGATACAAAAAACATTCTATAACAAATTATTGGCTCTACCCTCAAATTAATCAAGTGAGTAAATTTATGCAACTCAAAAACACTACTGTGTAACAGTTGTGCCTGAAAAGCAACTATACGGGGTATGACTAAAATCCTGTAGTAGTTTCATTACGAAATACTTTTTGTGAAAACGTGTTTTCAGTTACAATTTTGCTAAAAACAATCCGCGTATTATGATTTACGATACGTAGGTTTAAAAAAAAAAAAAAGTATAAAAAATATCTTTAAAAAGGGGCCTACAGTAAGCAACAAAACGAATGATTGATAAAAACCTAATAACAAACAGCTTCAACTTATCAACATGAATATTGGGCAGAAATATAAAAGTATATACTTTGATTCATAATTTACAAAATTACAAAAGAAAAGTAACTCAACTAGCCTATTTGTTATTTTACAATCCCATCTTCTCATTCCAGTGCTTGGGCAAATTAGTGTTTTCCTCGTTTGTTACCAACTGGAGGCTTCTGTAGTTGAAAGCTTGAACTCGTGTTGGATGGTGCTATAAAACTTGATGACGAATTAAAATTAAGGCCTACTGTGGGAGGCTTCGTTGTTGTCTCCAGAGAGAGATTCGTTGAGGGTGTTGTGCTAGAGCTTCCCCAACCTACCAACAGATAGTGCATAATAAAAATTAAAAAAAAAAAAATTTTCTTTGAATCTAAAGATAATTTTTTTGATTTCCATAGAGGTGCAAATTTTCAGTAATTGGCATTCTGAATTAACTTCGGTATTGATGCGTTAATTTTCATTCGCCCACAAAATGCGGTTAGAGGTTAAAAATAAACCTAATTATTTAAAGCTGCCTATAAATTGTTAAAAGCTTAAATGCAGTGTAGTAGAAACAATAAAGTGAACTTAAAATTGCTAGTTAATTAAATGCCTGGATATTTTCGTTAATGATATTTTTAGTCTATGAACCAAATGTTAACCCCAAAAGTGGAAAAACACAAAATAAAGCAAACAAAGAAAATGTTCTATACCTCTATACATAATTTAAGGTACAGCCATGTATTAATTTTTTCCTGAAAAGGTAAGATAAACAGTGTAGCACAGATAATGGTATCACACGCTGCTAATATTGTCATTAAATAAAATTTAGCTATTGAGAAATAAAATTTTGCTTAAAATAAAATAATTAAAAAAAAATTATTTATAGAATAGAATAGTTTGATGTACAACTTATATGAAAAAAAAAGCTGACAAGAAAATAGATACGGACAAAGAGCTTTTTAACTGTTACTTTAAAATAAACAAAATTAACTGTTCAGGTTACATTTATTTAATTGTCGAAACAATAATAAAAGGCAGAAGCTAGTTAATAACCTTCTACCTTTCTCTAAATCCTTGCCAGACCTAAATATTAGAATTCGGAGAAATGAAGAACAAATTAAGTATAATTTTACTCTGACTTTTTAATTAAATTGCGTATTGATTAAAGCAGAAACTTGTCTCTTACCTAATGGGTTTGGATTGCCATAACTAGGAGTCTGAACTGGATTTAAAGATGAAGATGATAAGAAACTCCGATTGCCTGAAAAAATTGACTGTTGTAGTAACTCTTGTACAGACTATAAGGAAAAAAAAAAAAAAAAAAAAAAAAAAAAAAAAAAAAAAAAATCGGTAGTGCAACGCGAGATAGGTACTTCCGTACACACATACACTAAATAGGGTACACCAACCGCGGACTACGAAAATGCCGATTTTTCTCATACCGATCTTACCCCAATTGCGAGTGGGTTCTCTTTTCATTCATCGAGCGAGTCTTGTACTTATGCCTGTCCATCGCTAAAAACAGAGGAGTGGAAAGATATTAATAAGACGAAGAAGAAATCGGTTTCGCATAAGTACGTGACACAGAAGAGAGCCTCAAAAGCGAAAGAGAGACTGAAACGCAAACACATTGAAAAACGAGAGACAAACATACGCGAGCACACATGTGTGTGTGTGCGCACATTTTTCTTTTCTCTCTCTTTCGCTCTCACGCGTTTCGGAGCACACGAGGGACGAAGAGGAGGGGGGAGACGAGCCAGGCCTACTATGCGGTGCGCCCGCCATCATGATACCTCATGAGCGGAGTGACGTCAGAATCCCCGCCTTCAGATTCCTCTCGAGCGGAATTCCACCGTTAACATGATAGCGCGACGTCGTCGTCGACGTCCTCGGCGTGCTTTTGCTGCTAAGCCCTCATGCATCGGCTCCTCCTCTTTTTCGTCGTATTCTATTGTGCCCACTACAAGCACCACCGCTTCCTTGCACTGCTCTTGATGCACACTCCGATGCTTCCTCGTACACATGTGTACGATGCACGTGTGTTTTTTTTTTAATTTTCTCTTTATTTATCACTTTTGCTTGTTTGTTTGGACAATTACTACGGGTATATTAGTAAAACTATTACGCTTGCGTATGCAAATGTAAGCCCGACACACTTTTTTTTTTACATCACGTACGTACTCGTGTATGTAGCGCGAACAACGGCGGGTAGCTAAGGGTACCGATCTTTTTCGATTCACTGATTATCGGCACACTGAACGAACTTTCTTTTACTTTTTTTCTCTCGATCGGGTGGGAGGAAAAAAAAAATCGAACAAACCAAACAATCACTTGGGCACTTTTCACCACGTTTTGTTGCTCCAAAAACTCCGATTTTCGGTTGTGCTTGCGAACGCGACACCTGCACCACTATTTCAAGGCCACTTGTTTTTCCTTTTTTCTTTTGCACGTTTAACGAGGAAAAAAAAAAAAAATAACCAACGAGCACGCAAAGTTTCGGCTCCAACTTGGGATCCCTCCTCGGCTAAAGACAGATGTGCCGAGCGAGAAAGAGCAGAGCCACGGAGGAGATACCGTTGCAGCCGAGCGGCCAGGCTCTCTTCTTTTTCCGGCCGCTGCTGCTGGTGTACTACTACTGCGTTCCTGGCTCTCTCGGGTCTTCTCTTTTTTTCCTCTCTCTCTCTTGGCTCGAGAGAGAGAGAGAGAGAGATCGAGTAGACAAGCGTGTATATACCACTGCCTCGACCGCCTGTAACCTCTTTTTGTCTCACTCGCGCCTGATGATGACGATGATCCGCGCACACATATCAGCCTGCACGCACCATCGAGTCGAAATCTCGAGAGCGCAATTTTTATACTTTATCACTTGCGTTCGTTACACAGTGCACGCGTATATACGTGTACAACGAGAAAGCCGAGGCTTTCGACGTGGAAAACGAAAAAAAAAAAAAAAAACGATCATTTAAATAAGGTAAAGTTTTCTGTGTAACTCTTACAATATATAATAAATTGTACGGTTCAATTTTGTTACACAACTTACGGAAAAAAAATAGAAAATTTCTAACTGTTACTTATTAATACTAAAGAAAATCGTTTTGTTTTCATTTATTTTAAGGTTATGTCTGCCACTGTTGACATATAGTAAGTCTGTAGTAGTCTACTACTACTACATAGTCTCTATAGCTTAGATTTGCTGTTGTGGCAGATAACTGTTGCAGATTTTTTATGCATGTGATTAAAGTGATTCTGCATAATTTTATAAGTGCAATATGAGAACATACACAAAGTGGTTATGGTAAGAATTTTCGCTTTTTACGGTTGTGTTACAACGGCTACGATGTTTTTCAGCGACTTAGTAAAAATGGCGAAAAGACCGTACGACTTTTGTCAATACAGGGGCTGCACAAAATTGAAGCTTTCCCGTGGTAAGCTTTACATCCATAGCGCGCTCAAATCGATTGGGACAAACTCGAACCAGCCTCCATGGTCCAGCGATGGCACACATTCCTGTCTCAACTGCAGGACGATTCTCAAATCACCATTCCTCGCTGGATTAACTGGCGTCCTCATGACAGCCTTCAGCTCCACGCCTATGCGGATGCCAGCCGTCACGCCATGGCAGCGGTCGTGTACTCACAAACCGTAGACCCGGTTGGTGGTGTCACCGTACGCCTGTTGATCACCTGGACTAAACTGACCTCCGTGAAGGGGTTACAGCCGGATTCCGCACATCCGGCACGGATAACCATTCTTCGACTGGAGCTGCGAGCCACCCTTCTTGCTGCAAAACTGCTGCGTATGGTTGCTGGGAAATATTCCGCCCTTCCCAAGGACTGTTACGTCTGGAGTGACTCTTTTATTGCCCTTCATTGGCTCCGATCGTGAGAGCCCATCAGCCCACCAGCAACTCGCTCATCGACAATTACGTGACTCACACCCAAGAGCTGCTACCCTCCTGCTCATGGAGATGTGTCCCGACGGACTCAAATCCTGCAGATGTAGCGTCCCAAGGAACAGACCTGTCCACACTAGAGCATATGCACATCTGGTGGGAGGGTCCATCATGGCTCACGGATCCTCCAGATTCGTGGCCGGTCGAGGTTGCTGGGCCCTCCAGCCTCTCCGTTTCGGACCACGAGAAAGCTACCCACACCTGTTGTACCATTCAACGCAACGTCTCAAACATCCTGGAGAAGTTCTCGGATCTGGGCCTTCTGCTGCGCTTCCTCGCTCGGTTACGTCGATGGATCTGCCATCGGCTGCGTCAGGACCCAGCTCCAGCCCTGACACCCTTGACCACCACCGAGCTGCGCGATGCATACCACGTGTGCGTCCACCTCAGCCAACAGCGGTCCTTCTCTTCCGAGATCGAAACTTTTAACGGGGGGGGGG